AATTTATTAACGGTCAGAAAAATTAAAAATAAACCCCCAATACCATCATATATACCTCCCACTGGCAAACACTTAAAAAGGTGGACCACATGATGTACGTATGGGAAGATGGAACAATGGAAACTTTCATATGTTGTGAAATATCAAAAAAATTATTATAAAAATGTTTGGTACTATTTTGTAAATCTATGATCCTATGTATTTACTGGAGAAAAATCCTTACTGTTACTCCATGTACAGGTGCACTTTACTGTACATACTTCACATGCACGCCAGTAGCAGAATGGATAACTGAGGTCCATTCCTCAAATGAAGTACTATAACACTCCTGCCAGATAAGGTGGATAAATCCCACAAACAACATTGGATGAAGAAAGACATCAGGTTCAAGAAGTAATGTAGTTGGATTCCATTTATGAAGACTTCAGAAAGGAAATCAAAACCTGGCGCTGTTGGTGAAATGATAAAGAAAATCTACAGAATATTTTTCACCAAAGGGTACTTGTTATGTACAAGAGAGGAGATGTGAAGTGGCACAGTTTCAGAACCCATGATACGAGCAATATTTTGTTCGTTAACTTATTGTTTAATAAGAGTGACTGCACTATTATTCTTTATTTTGGGGGGGAGAGGAGTGGACAGAGTTTCACTATGTTGCCCTTGGAAGAGTGTTGTGGCATCACAGCTCACATTAACCTCAAACTCTTGGGCTTAAAAGTGATTATCTTGCCTCAGCCTCCTGAGTAGCTGGGACTACGGGCGCCTGCCACAATGCCTGGCTATTTTTTGGTTGCAGTTGTCATTGTTTGGCAGTCCTGGGCTGGGTTCGAACCAGCCAGCTTTGGTGTATGTGGCTGGCACCCTACTCACTGAGCTACAGACACTGAGCCTCTATTATTACTCTTTAATTTGTGTATATGTGATGTGATTCGTGTCTTGTATAATTCACTAGACACATTGCAAATGGACTGTCAGACCATGTCATTCCTTGGCACCAAACCCTCCAGTTCTTTGTGTTTGTCTAGGAACCGAAGCCATGTTAGTAGTGATTATCTTCCATTCTGAGAGTCTTCTCTTACTTTGCAGTTTTACATTTCGTCACATCTGTGAGCGTTCTATGCACAGTAGTTTCAATCTTCCCTTTTGCGAAGGTAGGTTTCCATTCGGGAATTGTGCTTCCTTTTCCTGAAGTGTGATCTTCTCCCTTTTTTCCCATGACTTTTCCTTCTGTGCCTTTTCAACTCGTCCTTGCTACCTACTCATTTTATCCTACTTCCTTCTTATGAATTTTTGCTGCTCCTTTCCCACCTTTTCTTATATTCTGTTATGAATTTAAGTAAATTTTGTAACATTTTTCTTTTGGATCTGATACAAGCCTCTGCTTGAATGATAGCAATAAAAACAGTAGTAGTAATAGCAATAAAGGAAGACCTAAACTTATTTTTTTCTTGAGCACATATTATGTTCCAGTCAATATATTATATTAAGCACACCTTACATCTACTATTTTCATTATTTATTAGAATATCATTTATTATCTTCACACTAGTGATGAATAATATGAACTCTTCAAAGGCTGGAGAAAAAACTCTCACAATAGTGGGGGTTTGACACATATATATCTATCTGACTTTAGAATCTCTGCTCCTGATTTTTTTCCTAAGCTGTCATTATGCTTAATAATGATTGAAATTGGAACTTCTGAAAATCCAGCAATAGATTTGCTTGTTACTAAGAAAGCTTTCCTTTTAAAAAAAGCTAAATATATACTATAAAAATCTCTCTGTGCCCTCTTTCTTTCTATTTCTATGTACCTTTCTCTAGGTGAATACATTTGGATTTTAGATATAATCAACTGTCACATAAGTGTTATTTTGCCTATTTAAGTCTTAAATAATAGAGATGTCAATTCTCCCACTTAGCTACTTGAAACAGCATCTGAATCATGGGCCTTATGGTGGAAGGATCTGGAGGTTCTCAACTCTTTTCATGACAGGTAGCTGTTCCATGATGGTAAACCACATTCTAGAGCATGAATTCCTCACTCTTAGCCCACCTATTTATAATTAGCTCAACAGTCACTAGTTCTTAGCATAAGTTTGTCATTAGTGACAAGGACTAATAACTTTCTCTGAAATTGTAACTACCATGTTAATAAAGAGTTTTGGATACAATGTATTAGAGGCTACTGGGAAGAAAAAAATTTGAATAAGAAGTTAATTCATTTACCGAGGCTGAGATCGGGTTTACACTGATTTGCCCTGCTGTATACATAACACTGTATGCCGTTTACCTGAAGACACTGTCTCGATCGTCAACGCCTTCAGTATCTGGTTTAGACTTTCATTTCCACTGATTCCAACAGAGTAAATAATTCAGTAATTTGTATGAAGTATGCATTCAGTGACACCTTTGGAGAAAATTTTTGCTCTTTCTTCTATTCTTAATTTCAAAATGCAAAATGCATTCAGAAAATGTTCCTTACACTTCAAGGTACTGTGTTTCCCTCCAAATAAGACCTACCCCCCAAATAAGCCCTTAGCAGGATTTCTATGCATTTGTTAAATATAAGCCCTACCCTAATAATAAGACGTAGTGATGGGTATGGCTATGCAGATGTGCATTTCAGTGCGGAGACATCCCCTGAACATAAGCCCTAGTGTGTCTTCTTGAGAAAAAATAAATATAAGACAGTGTCTTATTTTCGGGGAAACAGGGTATTAAAAGATTAGAAGACAGGAAAAATGTTTATTGAAAAGCTCTATGTAAACTGCCTATAAAGCTAGACATTTTACACGATCGCCAGAATGCCCGATCTGAAATGAGTAGGGTCTGAAATATGTTGAAATAATAGTTCAGATAAAAATAAATAATTCTGATGAAAGAAAATACTGACTAATTTAATTCTTCATATTCATGTCATATTTATTTAGCTGCAAGTATATGATTTTTCCAAATCATCTGTATCATCCAAGTTGGAGAGAGATGATAAAACACATTTTATAAGCTGATACTATTTTGGACATGGATGAAACGCTATTTAATATACACGACAAATAAGGAGAAACTGTAAAATTATGAATTGATAATATCTTATTCTGTCCTCATTTCTCAGGTATTTACTATTGAGTCTTCTGAGGAAAAACTCATTTAAAGAGCTCATTGTTTTGGACTGAATTCATCATGAAAATCACAGACACTGTGACCTATTTATAAAATAATTTTGTGGTGAGCGATGATTGCTGTTTGCCAGTGATAATGTAAGGACAGTATTTCTTTGGTGTTTTGCCAACTTTCGAGTCAGATTAGGAAAACTTACAATAGTCAATGGTTGCTTTCAAAGTGGAAACACTGGAGGCTTCATATATGAGTAATATAATAAAACTTCTGAATTTGGAAATTGAGAACTGCTACAGATCCTCAACAATTCATGTGTGTGGGGGGGAAAAAGACGTCTGTGATGCACGAGCAGTGATAAAACATGTAGATACATAAAATTTATTCATAAGTAGGTTACCATAACCTCAAAAGTATTTCTACATATAGTAAAGAGACAAAAATGATCTAGAAATGAGGTTTTAATGTGCCCTGAGTATCTGGTCAGTTTCAGATTTTACCCCTGAAAGCGTGACAATCACCAGTACTAACCATGACATTTTTATAAAACTTAAAAATAATCCAATGTTGATTCTTTTCACATCGTAAACTTCCAGACTCAGGCCAGACACAAGAAAGAAACAGAGAATTAGAGTGAGAGGATTTCACTTTGGGAAGGAATAAGACGTGTTTTTCATCTCCATTCCTTTAGATATTTTTGTGAAATTCACATATAAGTTCCGTATCTCCATTAGTGCATACAGTTTATTATTTTAAGATCCTTTTCACGATTGCTAATATTAGGAACAGCAATCCGAAATGTGTATTTTTATATATATATATATATATATGTATACATATATTAGGAGTCAATTATTTTACAGCAAAAGAAATACTTATTTTAAAAATTCAGGTATTCTCTGACGCATAACAATTTTCTGTAATAGTATGATGCTTTATCTGTGAAAGACTAACTCTTCCCTGTTAGAAGTTGCCGTAAGAAAGATCTGCCTAATGGAAGTCACAGCTCTAATGCCTAATACATGGCCCTACGGCAGGAGCCTTGCGCTGAATCCATCACTCCCCCTGCCGAGCTACCTTCTTCTTTTTCGCTATTTTAGTGCATTGACGTCTTCATGCAGACAGACAGCAGCCGGGAATCTGGAGTTATTCTGGGCTCCCCTTTCCTTAGTTGCTCACGGTCTTTCACCAAATCATGTAAATTGCCCATTTTCCCCTGTTACAAATCTGTCCCCTCATAGCCATCCCTATAGTAGAGCATCAGCCCATGCCTGTAGCATCTCTCTGGGCTAATGAAATGTTCCTCTAATTATTCATCAGTCATTCTACTGCTCTGCCTCATGGCTCCGTGCCATCAGCTGATAAATTAGAAAATCATTAAATTGGCCATCAAAGGTCCATGCAGTTCTACATAACTTGACACCTGTCTGCTGCCTTCATCGGGTCTCCTTCCAGGCTCTCACCTTGAATGCTAATTGCAGCCATTCCAAATGCCATACAGTTTGCTAACCAGGGCGGTTTCTTGGCGGTTTCTATACATGCTTCTCCCCGCTGGACATTCTCCCCACTCTCTGCCTTCCTTCATGATGCCCCTGCTCTACCTCTCTGGCTGGAAACACATACCGTACTCATTTTTTGGCATTCAGTACGAATGAGTAAAACGCTCTGTATACACACAGGTCTTTCACACCAGCCGTAACACTTCAGTGCACGTATCTTCCTTTTTCTATCTTCCTGTGTCAAAACCAAAGTCTTTCTAGTGTAGACTGTCTGCTTTATTTGTTATTGTTATTTTTAGAAACTTGCAAAGTTTTAGAAAAATAGCATATTCTTAATACACGCTCGCTGAATTGATAAAGTAACAAAAGTAACAAAATCCATACCTGGGTTTTCAATAGGTTTTTCAGGCAGAAGTCGTATTTTTTGATTAGTGTTAAGAGACACTGTCTGAAAAGATAAAACAAAGATCTTGTTTAAAATTGGGTAGAAAACTTAATTCTCTTTAGCACAAACATTTCTCACAAGTTCTCTTTTGCCCAGGATTCTGTAACAAGTGTGGTACAAAAAGGATTGTTGACATGTTTTAAAAACATTTCATGGAGGTGCCTTATAAAGTTTGTGTGACTTGACAGACAGAATCTTAGAATTCACGAGAAATCATGACAAATTAACCAAACCTTTCAAAGGCTGATCATTTTATCAAACTGCTCTTAATACACAATGTAAGTTGTAAAGGGATTCGTAAGTAGAAAAAGTGGCATGTATTAACACCAAGACATGTAAAGTATGTAAAATCCGGTAGAGAATTGCATTTGGAATTAAAATTAATGGCACATTTTTATAATAGAGTTTTCTCTGACACCAAGTGTCTGCACTTTTCTTTCCTGAGCTTCTCTTATTTTTCAAGCTTTGTCTATGCGTAGGTGGAATGTATGAGGTTTTAGCTGAGATTCTTCTGAACGTCATTGTTTAAAATGACTTTTCCAAACATTGTTGACTTTACCTTCTTATGTGTTCTGAAAACTGCTGAGTTGAAGTGAATCATGGGTCACACAGCCCAAAAACACAGCATTGAAGCACACCAGTTTATTTTATAATACCTGTATGCTCATTCTTTATTATGTTATCACTTTAGCTGGAGTCCATCTGTCAGTTCAAAGACAAAATTTATAGAGTATGTAAAAGGAGGGGGAGGAAAGGAGTGGTCAAGGATTGGACAGTGGGATCATTTTTGGGTAAAACCTAAAGCCATTAAGATCCCCAACAATGCACATAATCATTTCAGCACTTTGCTATTGGATCCTTTATCTATTTTATGGGTAAAAAAAAAACTATCAGGAATTAGGGAAGGTAAGTGATTTGCTCGACTGCTAAGTGGTAGGTGAGGATTAAAGGAGGAAGACAAATAAAAGCTCCTGCCATCCAGTCCTTGATCTTTTGATGACACCGTCAACTGATGTGAGGAGGGCAGGCCAAGTAGCTCTGTGTCATGGACACCTAAATCCTGCACGGGCCTTTATGAGGCTGAGAAGAATGGATCTGGGTGACATAACGTTTGAGAAAGATAAGGGCAGGAGGTGTCAGAATAGAATGGAAGTGAAATAAACCCTGACAGATGGATAGATACTCGGTTTTAGTCATGGCTGTGGCATTACATATCTGGGTGATGGCTGCCAAAGTTTTCGATTTCCATGGTTTGGCTTCCTTGCCACAGGAGAAACAGCCCTGGGAGACAACACTCCCCAGACTATAGTCCACTGCTCTGGAATTGGAGGGAGGGGGTGGTGGAAATCAAGTCTGATGTTGGGCTGTCCATGACTGTCTCCTCTATTTCATTTTGCTTTGCCTTGATTTAACCCTGTGGCCACCTACACTGGCACATAGTCAAGGCCCTCAGACTTCTGTGGGGAGTACACAATGGCGGGTAGCACATAGTCAAGGCCATCAGACTTCTGCTGGGGAGTGCACAATGGCGGGTAAAACACGGCAGAATGGAAACCCTTTTGCTCACTCATCTCCTCACAGTCTTCGTTTGCTACAAGGAGCTGCAACTTTCCACCAACCCAGTTCAAAACCGTCCTCTGTCTCTCAAGGATTTCCCACTTTTTAAAGAATCTGTCATATTTGACGTGTGGGTGTCTATTTTTCCTTCTCTATTTTCTTTATTTCTGGATTGACTCATTTTGGCAAAAGGAAACCACAGCCTTTGTTCCTATCCTAGGTAAGGGGACTTAGCTCTGAACCACACAATTACCTGTAAAGCAAAAATGTGGCTATGTCCTAATAGTGCTTTCCAGTCTGAAGTATAGTCTTAGACATTCTTTGATTTTATGGCATGAAGTTAGACATTTTGGGGCAGAGGGGAGATTTACAATGGAAAAAACACAACAGCTTAAAGAAAGAACAGAGCCTTTGCAAATTTCAGACAGACCTGGTTTTAGTCCTTCCACGAGTGACCTAAGTGGCCTTAGGCAAATTATTTACCCTCATATAACTTTAGTCTCCTTGATTCTGAAGTAGGATAACGTGTATTACCAAAAGGTTTCAGGGACAATTAGATGAGATAATAAATGCAAAATGTATAACTCCGCAGAGTGATTAACTATGATTAATAGTCACTGAAAACAATTATAACTCATCCTTCATATCAGCCTTTACTTTAGAGAGCTTGGAAATATCCATCCCATATCGCATTTTTTTCTGGTTCAGCTCAGAACGACTTACATTCCAGGTCCTTGCCAACTGCAGCTCTGAAATCTTTTCTCACGTTAGCTCCCTGATAGGTTTATTCATGTACATTTAGATACAAGGATCAATTAGCATATGTTCATGTGCTGTCACTTGAATTTTCCAATTTGAATTTACACTCCTCTGTTTAGGATATGCCAATTATTTTCAGGGAGTTCCAGAAAGAAATTTAAAAACAGGAAATAGTGTCTTTCAAAGTATGGAAATCCAGCTTTATAAAGAGCTTAGTGACACATGCACACCCAAATTCATAAAATGAATGAGGAAAAAAAGACTTTGAAAATATAATAACCGGCAGCAGAGATATTTTAAAATGCATGTTAGAATATTCTGGAAGGTGTTAGCAGCTCTTCAAATATATCTGAATAACTGTGGAGAATAGATAATTATTAACAGAATTTGCCAAAGGGAGCTATCTATTAAAAATACAATAGGTTCCACAGCACTCGTGAAAGGACAGTTTTTACAATCAGCCGAAAAATATTGTGATTTGGTATTTGAGAGCTCAGTCAGAATGTAGTCTTGGAACAGAAATAAAACCTCTTACCTGGATACTTTCCAAATATGCATAAATTCTAGAAGTTGGTTTAGATAAAACTGACTGTGGTCATCTTCATGCTGTAGAGAGCAGAATATATTAATATTTATAGAGTGAATAGAAATGAGTACCAGATAAAAATAGGCCTGTAACTTCCCGCTGTCATTGTATTCACCTATTTTGATAACCCCTGTTCATCATTTTTATACTTTGTCTTAAAGACCTTACAAGACCCTCCTTAACTGTATAGCCTTTTCAATAAGAAAGCAAAAAGCTGAGCTGTTGTTGAGGATTAACCTAAAAGCAACTTATGAATCATCTTAGCATCATCAAGGTCAAATATTAATTTCTCCAGGTAATTAGGAAGACACATCTGCAGCACTGGTTCTCCGGCATGCGTGCACATTTCATTTTTGTCACATGTAAACCACGCATGCCATGGTAGTGTCAGACCTGGCATTTTGCCAGGTGGGCAGACTCACAATGATCTTCTGTATTTTTTAGCCTCACCCTATCTTCCTGCCAAAATGTCAGTGTAAGAGAGCTTTCCATTTCACAAACACTAGATTATGCTAATGAATGTCAACTACTGGTAGGTAGGAACTCCAGGAGTTCTCAGTTGGCATTTTGTTTATTCTGCCTATAGACAGAAACTATTCATCTTAACATTTCAGTTCTGTGGCTCATAAACCCACACATCCCCAACCGCTTGACTAGTTCCTCTGCAACATGCATTCATGAGAGCTCTATGCAAGCATGCAGTGGAGAACGCAGTGTTACTCCATTATAGTGGTGCCATTTTTAAAATGAATTTGTGGGGGAAAAAAATCAGAAGAAAAATTTTTATATCATCTAAGGTCAAAGAATTAATTTTTATATTGTTTCATTTTGTAAAGAGGAAGAGGGAACAATGTCATCTTATAAAACAGTATTTTAAGTACATGCTATGAAAAGAAACACTTTGTAGAAATGCTGAAAACGTGATGATGTAAGGTGTATGTTCTAGAAATTTACATCTAGAGTCATGGTGACCACTAAAATGGAGCATGGGACAGGGGTCAACAAATTTTTTTCTATGCCTATACTTTAGGCAAGGAAAGGATGGGGAGAGAGAAGAGTCATTAGAAAATGAAGAACAATCCACCAGGAGGCAGTAAGATTTGAACTGCAATACCTGGAGTTTGCCTTCTTTTAGAAGTTAAAGCCAGAGAGAGCATATAAATGACTTATTTGCACATTTCTGCATAGTATAATCATATTTATGTTTTTATGTTTTATTTTTTTACATATTTATGTTTTTACAAATACTTTGGTTTCTAGAGATATTTTTAGAGAGAAAATATGCCTGTGTCATATCGCCATTTATTAGAAAATGTTTTGATTTGGAGTATCTAAAAATGCTTCAGGGGGCAGAAATTAATGTACATTAGAAACACTTCTTTGTTAAAATTATAAACAGATCTTAAGAGACAGACCAACAAAAGGTTGGAAGAAAATTTCATCAGTTTTCCATGAAATATATCATCAACTTCACTTTTCTCTGGAGCTGCAGGCCATCTGTTGGTCTTAAAGAAAAGCCTACGATCTTTTCTTTTTCTCATGCAGAAACTATTGTAAAATTTCAGTGAATAGTCCCTTGAGTTAGAAAAAAATCTTGATTTATGATTCGTATCTACAATGTTGGCAATACTTTTGATCAAATGTGAGAGAGATAAAAAAAGAAAAAAAACATTTTAAAAGGTTCATTAATTCACATCTAATTAAGGTAGAAGCTTTAAAATTTTGAAATCTGGAATGATTTCTAAAGATAGTCAACCTGCTTTATATTTGGAACAACCTCTTCTCTTAGAATAAAAATTAAGCTATCTTGTTTTGGTATGATATTATCAAATTTAAAATAGAAAGGCTATCCAAGATAAGCTGAGTTTACAATGCTTTTCACAATTAGAAAACTGTAAAGTAGCTACTAAAAGACAATGGTGTTAATAAATTTAATAAAATTGTAAGAGACACTATATTCCTAGTATTGTGTGAAAAAGAGTACTATCAAAACAATTTTGCAAAATTTTGCAAAAAAGAAAATATAATTGTTCATAAATGTGTGGCTTACTGCTGAAATACTCAAAATCAAAGAGAATTTTGACATTACTTTAAAAATTAGAAGCAAGAAAACATTCACTCTTCCTTTATGTTGTATATAAAAAATTTTAGAGCGCAAATCAAGTGTATTTATTTTAAATATAGCAATTCAGACAATGAAAAGAGTTACAAATTGATAAACTGCCTCCGTTATATTAAATTATATATAGCACATAACTCAGAAACAAAATTTTCCAAAATTTACTTTAAAACCAGCACAATTATCTCTTTTTAATTTTCTTGTTACATGTAGAATCTGCAACTGAGAGTATAATTTATTTTGTTCTATGGGTATTGAACATTCATAAAAAAAATTGCGATATATGGAATTGTTGCTACATCGACAATAATTGTGACACGACCATGTGCACACTATTTTGACATAACACACAGCTGCCTGTATCTCTCGATAGTTTTAGCATTGTAGGTATTAAAAGTTTAAAGATAAACTAATATCAATAATGTTTTAAAGTTTTTAATAATGAAGAACTGAAATAGCACACAGTCTACCATCTTAATTACAACTCAGTAGCTCATATTATGGAGTCCTATTAAGAGGAGGAGCTGACTTCAGCTCCTCATAGTTCTCAGCTGAGTTCTCATAATAACCACACTAGGTAAGCACTACTATTATTTACTTTTTTTTTTTTTTTTTTTTTGAGACAGAGTCTCAAGCTGTCACCCTGGGTAGAGTGCTGTAGCATTCCAGCTCACAGCAATCTCAAACTCTTGGGGTTAAGTGATTCTTTTGCCTCAGCCTCCCAAGTAGCTGGGACTATAGGCACCCGCCAAAATGCCTGGCTATTTTTTGGTTGCAGTTGTTTAGCTGGCCTGGGCTGGGTTCCAACCTACCACCTTCAGTGTATGCGACTGGCGCTGTAACCACTGTGCTATGGGCGCCAAGCCTATTTGCATTTTTTTTGAGTTAAGAAATCGAAATGCAGAGAATTTTGCAATTTTCTCATGAGAAAAATATTTGAATTGAGCCATAGGAAACCACAATCTCTGCTTTTAATCAAGATACCAAATGAACAAAATGTATCACTCTTCATTTCTTATAGTCACAGCTCTAGGATTTAGACATAAAAATAAGCACCATGACTCGCCTTTCATACACATCGACATCAGGGCTTCTGCTCTCAACTCTGGAAGCATAGCTACCTTTTCCTGCCGTGGACATGTCGCATTGAACTTTGTTATATATGTTTATATATTGTCTGCCTCTCTATTAAGTTGTGAACTCTACATTCTAGGAATGGCAAGTACTCTGTGAGACATGTAAAAAGTGGTCAATAAACATTTGGTGAATTAATCAGTCATTATTAGTTTAGGTGGATTAATATTATACTGTGTGAAGTACTTAGCCTAGCTCCTAGAAGTAAACTCTTAAAATTTTAATAAAATGGAGAGTCTTCTCGGGTGGCACCTGTGGCTCAAAGGAGTAGGGCGCCAGCACCATATACTGGAGGTGGCGGGTTCAAACCTAGCCCCGGCCAAAAAGTGCAAAAAAAAAGAAAGAAAAAAAAATGCAGTGTCTTCTCCTATGGAAGGTAACACTAAGAAAAATAAATAAATAAATAAATAAAAAACACCCAAAGAGCCAAGATTTGGACCAAAGAAGATAGGAGCTACAATTTGGAGAGATGGAGACATGGAAAGCCTATCTCATATTTTATATGGACGTTAAAATTGCTCTTTAATTGGAAGTCAGTGCCAGTTGAAAGCTCCAGATAATAAGCTCTTTGAGAGCCGAGATCTTCTTGCTGTTGTTCACTATGCACTAGCACAGGGCCTAGCACATAATAAATACTTATTGAATGAATGGAGGATATACAAACACCTTTACCATCAAGTGTATTACCAAACTGATAAGAACAGATACTACACTTGATCCTAGCCGAAAGGCCGAGAAGCGATCATGTGTATTATCAAATTTTAAATAACAGTGTCAGTACTAGGAAAAGTTGTGGACAAGAAAAGTCATTTATACTCTTTGTCTATGAATAGTTGAATTAGCCAACAGCTGATGTATTTATTATAGAAAGTAAAAGTTTGTGAGTTGAGCCAATAAACATTAAAAAGAACCACGTAACTTCATTCCCTCTATGATCCAAATGACATATTGAAAAAGAGGCATTTCCAGTAACAAATACACACTGTACACCCAGGGATGACTACATGCTTGTTCCCAGATAGGATGGCAGAGGTGATAACAAGGACATTGCACCAGCTGACATTATAATACAGTGAGCCCTCTGACCAGTCCAGCTCTGTGCAAGTCCTGTTTTCCTTATTTACTGGCTGTGAGATTTAGGGCTATTGATTTAATCTTTAAGCTTTTCAGTACTGTTATTTATATAAGATAGGAAAATAATAGTATTTATCACTTATTTGCTCTTGGGCTATTTGAAGTAATGTATTTAAAGTACTGAGAACAGTGCCTGACACTTAATACATGTATCATACGGTTAGAGCTATTAAAACACCTATCATGCCCCAGACTTTGGGCTACACAGATATAGCCACAGAAAATAAAACAAAAAAAAGTATCTATCTAGAGAAAAATTATCTATCTACAGTTTTGACCAATTACCCTGAAAACCTTTAAGAATAGCCTATAAAATCTAAGCATATGTCCCATACATTGGTAGCAATGTGTAGACTCCAAGGACTCAAATCTATGCTCCTCTGCTCATAGTTTTATGATTATAATTTTTGGAAAGTCATGACACCACCCTGGGATTCAGTTTCCTGGTTTTTAACAGTGTTTGCCTTGTAGAATTATTGTGGAGATGAAATGTGACAGAAATGTTAAAATCCTAGATACAACATGTATGCTCAATACATATCAGAAGAGTGGAGTTTTTATAGATTCTAAACTAAACCTTCATTTACATGGGTCTGAAATGTTAGTGATTTGTGAGTTACTACCAATAAGCTATTGTTTTAGCAACACATACATTCAAATCACATATATTTTCTTTTCTTCACCCGTGTTGCAATGAAACGTGATGATTTCAGCTTTCCTCAACATGGAGGGCAATTGGAAGAATATTAAGTTTATTAATATTGAAGGTTTATAAGGTTTCTTTGTGAAGACTTCAGATGTACAGCCTGGGAGCTGTCAACAGCAGCTGAATGGGTAACCAGATCCAGAAGATACTTCGAAACAATTCTCTTCTGTCTTCATTGGGTTATAGTCCACAGAGATACATTGCAACCTAATGTACCACCTGATATTTTTTATGAACAAACATATACTAGGAAAAAAACAGTCATGTACTAGAAGTCTGCTGTCTAATATAAATGAGGGATTTTTACCTAAAGCCAGTCATTGGAAGATTCTACAGATAAAAATTACCAAAATATCAATGTTCACTGCATAATGTGCAATTTGAGTTAGAAGTAACTCGAGACATCACATAGGCACTAAAATTTGCATCTAACAGTATGAGACTATGTCATTAAAGATATTGATCCTTTTATAGATTTATTATATATATTATGAATATTAATCTGTCCCAATTTAAGCTGTGCCAACATAAACTGTTCTTGAATAGCATAAGAACTGTTATTTTTCTTCCTTCAGTCATTTCTTTTTCATATTTTCCATCCCATTTGCTTCTAAGTGGATACATGCAATAAATATGATGACCTTAATAAGTTTCTCTAAATGATTTTTCAAAGAAACCAATTCACTTGTTAATATACTGAGTGTGTTAGCTGGTCTCCTACAACAAAATACTGTAGAACACACTGGCTAAACGTAGACATTTATTTGTCACAGTTCTAGAGCAGTGTTTTTCAACATTTTTTATCTTAGGGCACACTTGAACTTGTAAACTTCTCAGGCACAGTTAAATTATGCTGATTAAAGAAAGAATATACCTACTGAGCTCTGAACTTCTTTTGAAAATAATTTAATTAATGATCTTAAAAACTTTTGGCAGCACACCTCAAAGATGCTCTCACAGCACACCAGTGTGCCGTGGTACATTGATTAAAAATCCCTGTCCTGGAGTCTGGGAAGTTAAAAATCAGAGTTGGAGTGAGGGCTGTGTTGCCAAAGTACAGACAGCTACCTTCCTGCTGTGTCACATGAGAGGAAGAAAGAGAAAGAAAGGGGATGGAGAGAGAGACAGAAAACCTGCCTTTTCATAAGGGCACTAATCTCTTTTTCAGGACACCTCTAATGGGTACATGTGGAAATACTTAAGGGAAGAATCATATCTTCATGTGCCTTCTTTATTAGTAATAATGGTTTCATAAGTTTGAAACCAATATTCAATTATTAGTTGCAAGTAGACTAGAAATTAAATTAAGAATAGGATTGCAGAGAATAGACAAAAGGAAAACAGAGACAGGAGAAGAGTTGATTTGGAAAATTCCTAGTTTTCAGGGCAAAGCACTGTCGGGACTTCTCACTTGAAAATTCTGAAAGCTGGCTGGGCGCCTGCCCATACCCTGCAGCAGGAAGATGGCCAGGGGTTGTGGAGGGCAGCTATAGTCCCAGCTGCTTGGGAAGCTGAGGCAAGAGAATAGCTTAGGCCCAAGAGTTTGAGGTTGCTGTGCACTGTGATGCCATAGCACTCTACCCAGGGTGACAGTTGAGACTCTGTCTCAAAAGAAAAAAAAAATTCTAAAGCTGTCTAAGCTGTCTTGCTGGAAATTCTCCCCTGACCCACCCACACAGCACTCCACCATCACTATCACTCTCCAAGTCTGTGCAGAGGTTCTCTGCCAGGGCAGGGTGTTTGCTCAGGGAGAGTGATTTTGGAGAATTAAGAAGGTAGAATTTTGGGGTGCCCATAGCTCAGTGGTTAGGGTGCCAGCCACATGACCTGGCACTAGTAAGTTCAAACTCAGCCTGGGCCTGTTAAACAACAACAACAAAATAGCCGGGTGTTATGGTGGGCACCTGTACTCCCAGCTACTAGGGAGGCTGAAGCAATAGAATCACTTGACCCCAGGAGTGTGAGGTTGCTGTGAGCTATGACGCCACAGCAGTCTACCGAAGGTGACAAAGTGAGACTCTGTCTCAATAAAAAATAAGAAAAAAAGAAGAAAGAAAGAAAGAAAAAAAAGAGAGAATATACAATGTTTAAACTTTGAAATGAAATCTCTCTTTTCTTCTGTCACCTTAGTTTGGCCAGAGGAGTCTATCTGTCTGGACACAAAGCTTTGAGGGTATTAAAATCACATCTGTGGTTTGTGAGTGTAGTCCGACGGGGGTATTTTTCTGATCTCCTGCTCCTGGGCTGTATAACTTTCAGACTATGTTTGTATTAACATCATAAATACCTTAAAACAGCAGTTCTCAACCTTCCTAAGGCCACGCCCCTTTAATACAGTTCTTCATGTCGTGGTGACTCTCTGACCATAACATTATTTTCGTTGCTACTTCATAACCGTAATTTTGCTACTCTTATGAATTGTAACCGTGACCCACAGGTTGAGAACTGCTGCCCTAAAACAATAAAAGTAACAAGTAAATCCATACAATTAATGTTGTTAGTTAAGGAATTCGTTTAGTAAAAGAAATGCAATCACAGCAAGAACCATGACAGAATGGTCTGCCATGCCTTTCATGAGATGTACGATTGAAACACTGATGTATGAAATAAATACACGGCTAACCTGGTATTCGAGGTGGCATACTAGAAGTCGTGAAGAAGGATATGCTATCTCCCAAATCCCTCGCTGCTCTTAAAAACTATTTGTTTTTGTTTTCTTTGTTTATTGCCTATTATTTCCTACATTTTCTTATAATTCTGACGGCTCCCTGCCCCACTAAGCCACTGGAAGAAAACCCATAGCGTGTTGGGGCTGGTTCCCAACCCACTTTCTTCATGACCTCATCTCAACCTAATTACCTCCCTAAAACCCTTCCTCCTAACACTATGACTTGGGTCTTCTTCAACTGATAAATTTTGGGAGGCTGTAAACATTCAGAACATAAAACTAAGGTGGTGGTAATGTGTTCACATTATTGCTTCTTACAAATTGTTCACAGGCATTTAGATGAAATATTTCATGTTTCAATAAACACATTCAAAAAACATATTTCTTACGCTCCATAATTCCACCTTGGCAACAGTCAATAAAAGATATAAAGATCAGCTTTAAAATGATTCATTTGCTCATTGAAATCACTGCTAAGAAAATCTTACCAAAAAAAAAAAAAGAGAAAATCTTACCTTTCGAGATAACTTTCCCAGAGACTCTCTATTTTTCTGAAGACGAAGTTGAATAACAGATTTATCTTTCTGAAACATTTTGTGGCTCCCCAAGCAGTGATCACTAAAGGAAAAAACATGAACATAATCGTATCTTCCCACAATACTTATAACATATCCAACCTCTGCATTTTTCTCCTTGATTCAATTTTCTTTCATTTTTGGAAGTTTCGTACGTGTGTGTGTAAATTAATAAATCAAGGGGAAATATAAAACTATATCATACATAAGAAAAAATATTGCAATTATTTTCAAACTCCTTGAGTTAGAAAATAGACACACTTAGAATGGTCATAATAAACTATAATGTAGAACGCTTTACATATTCCAAGTTAGTTTTACTCAGCCATCTGAAAGCTCCCAGCTGAGGATAACATGCCTCTGGATGGTCTCACTGATGCCACCGAGTCTATGTGTGATCACCGTTCTGAGGAAGCAGAGGGATGGCTTGGAAAGATCACAGGCTTTGGAGACAGATTTACTACCTCTATGACCTTAGGCAGGTCAGTTAAACTAAAAATATCTGACTGAATTCATTATTTCCCTATTTACAGTTGGGATATTACTACTACATCAAAGAGTTGACAAGCAGATCAAACAGAAAAAAATTCTCCATATTGGGCGGCACCTGGCTCAGTGAATAAGGCACTGTGTCCATCTATTGAGGGTGGTGGGTTTGAACCCCAACCCAGCCAAACTGCAACAACAAAAAAAATAGCTGGTTTTCTGGTAGGTGCCTATAGTCCCATTGACTTGGGAGGCTGAGGCAAGAGAATCGCCTAAGCCCAAGAGCTGGAGGTTGCTGTGAACTGTGATGCCACAGCACTCTGCCAAGGGCAACAAAGTGAGACTCTTGTCTCTAAAAAAAAAAAAAAAAAAAAAAATTCTACATCTATCAGAAATTTCTAATGGCATTATACTTTCTTTCTCTTTATCTCTTTTTTCTTTTGTGAACATTGGCCAAGCATAAGTTAAATGGTGAGCACAACAAATTACTATTTTGCAGTGAGTTGTTTTAAATACTAAGTATAATCAATCTGATTCTTCTGTGAAATGAAGGGCTTTACATTTCTTTTCTTTTCTTTCTTTCTTTCTTTCTTTTTCTTTTTTTTTTTTTTGAGGCACATTCTTGCTCTGTACTGGGGTAGAGTGCAGTGGAATCATTACAGTTCACTGCAACCTCAAACTCCTGGGTTCAAGTGATCATCCTGCCTCAGCCTCCCAAGTAGCTGGGATTATAGGAGCGCGCCACTGGACCCAAGTAACTTTTCTATTTTGGGGAGAGACAAGGTCTTGCTCTTGCTCAGGCTGGTCTCAAATTCCTGAGCTGGAGTGATTCTACCACTTCAGACTCCCAGTGTGCTAGCACTGTAAGTGTAAACTACTGTGCCCAGCCTACAGCTTTGAATTTTGATATCTCTGGTGACTCTTAGTCATTAAAAAAAGGGAATTATTTTAATGCTTTGTGTAAAGGGTCTTGGTTAAATCTGTGGGAGGATTATAAGACAAAAAAATCCCATATTAGAAATTTGAGGTCCTTAAGATGATAATTTCATTTATATGGAAAAATTCACTGAATATGATATTTGGGATTACCTATTCCCCCAAATCCAGATAAATAGAGCATTACTCTGTTAATATTCACTAAGTTCTCTGTAAATGCCATAATTTTGACAAATGCTATTTTTTAATACTAAGAAACACACCAGAATGGTGAATATTAGTATTCACAATTTGTATTTATGTCCATTCCAATACCAGCTGTTAGTCTAGCTAGAATCTTGTCCTGGGTCTGTCTATGGGGCTCTTATATTACTCATTGAGTTGTTATTTTTGCCACCAGTCTAGATGTAAGCATGACCAGTGCAATTCTTGACTAGTATTGGTTCTCTTTCCTCCTTTCCAAAGTTCTGCTCCAATGGCCTTTCCTTAGAATCCATCACCTGTACTCAAGTTCCTTTTCCTTCACATCCCTCTATCCCAGCTCCTCTTCCCATACTTAGAGTTCTGTTTTCCTATTCCTATTTCTAATTTAAGAATAGAGACCCACCTTGCTCCCAAAGGTTCCTTTCCTCCCTGTCTTGAACTCTGAACCCAGTTCAAAGAATTCAGCTTCCTATATGACCACTATCTTCTTCTTTTAAATGACTTTATTTGACCTACCTGTATGTACACCTCTTACTAGAATTATCAGGTAAAATACAAGAGGTCTAAGTCATACACGAATTGAAGAAAATGCATATAATAATAATGTATTTAATATAAGTATAATATAGTATTGTAATATAAGTATGTTCCATTAGTATTTGATACATACTTATACTAGAAATTTTATGTGTATACATATACTCACATCACACAGAAATTCAAATATAAATGAATGACTTGTATTTTTATTTTCTACATCTGCCACTTG